CAAACCAGGAAATGGAATGATCTGTACTATTACTTGTGAGTAAAGAGCTGCATGTTAAATGCTCATTTTAAGCTCAGGTACAGTGAGTTATTTATTCTACACAGCTCTACTGCCATCTTGTGGTAAAACCGAAAAATACAGCTCCCGAGAAGAGCCTCCATCTACGCTTCAAATCTTGAAACTCCAGATGTCGATGGAAGAAAAGAATTAGACTAACTTTACATAGGGAATTGATATATTATATTATATTATATATTATTTATTGCTGTAGCTACCCAAACATAACACACAGAATGTTACAACGTTCGTTTTCCTTTAAATTGTCTTCACAGGAAAGCCAACGTTTTTACCTGCAGTACCGGAGTAAAACTGCGCGGCGGCGGGGGCAGCAAAACGCAACTCGTCGTTTGAGCTGCAGGAAAAAACCGATCGAGAAGAAGTAGCAGCGAGGCAGCGGAAACGACGAGGTACGGAGCGGAAACGGCTCCGATGAACGCTACGGTCACAGTTAGCCGCACGTGCGTGGAGCTGTTGCTGGAACTCCAGGGACCGTGAGGTGGATGCTGTATTCACCAGAGTTCCTACAAACCCCCGACAGTTAACGTTCAGACGTCAGTTCGTTTGCAGCCTCTACGAAACGTAAGTTTTTTTAACCGAATTCTTGTATCGCACGTGTAACGTAAGACAAACTAACAGGTGAAAAGTGAGTGGCGTAAGCACTATTTCTGTATGGAATTCAACTGATGTGAAGTGAACAATACTGAGGACTAACACACTGAGCTCAGAGATGCGTCAGTACACGTGTAGTACACGTGTACTGACGCACAGATGTAGCCATTTATTGGTTTTAGTTTCACAGTGTTATATATATATATATAAAAGACAATATGTGTGTTTAACCTGAAATTTAAAATATACAAGTCTAAAATACTAAAACGGCGGTGCTTTCGTGAAGTAAATACATGTGTAAACACTACACAGGAGTATTTGAGTTGTACTGTAGTATTTAAGGCATTCCCCAAACCACTTCCTGGTTTTTTTGCGCCCTTCAATCTTCCCGCCATCGGCGACGTAAACAAGAAAAAAAATAATATCTCAGATTTGAACAAGGCGGGAGTTAACTCCATATTTTCTTAATGTTGTTGTGTTTTTTTACATTTCGACTTCGTACCGAACAAACCGTTCTCACTGTGCTGCACCTGGTACTGTTTATTTCCTGAACCACGGACACGTGGAGTGAGTAAAGTGTTTTACGATATTTCGACACAGAGTTAATGAAGTTTGCTTCAATATAATGTCGCTGTTTCAAACCACAGTAGATTTTCTGGTTAAAGTCGACTCTAGAATTTAAACCGGGACAGTTGGACTGGTCTGGTCTGAAACCAACAGGATGTTCAGGGTGTTAAATAATAATAATGTAAAACGTTTGTCGAGGTAATAATTTACTTCAAACATCAGGAAGATTTACGAAATGCATAAGAGGTTTGTGTCTGTGTGTGAGTGGAAACTTGACACAGCCAGAGAATGTGGCTCGTGTTTCCATGTGTCTGATCATGGGAGTCTGAAGCAACAATTTTCTTTTTTTTAACTCCTAAATGTTGTTGTTGTTTTCAGCTCTCACCGCCGCTATGAAGTACATCCTGGTCACAGGTGGAGTCATTTCTGGTATTGGTAAAGGCATCATTGCCAGTAGTGTGGGAACCATTCTCAAATCCTGTGGCCTCCACGTGACGGCCATCAAAATAGACCCCTACATCAACATTGATGCTGGAACCTTCTCTCCATATGAGCACGGTGAGTGAAGGGAGTTTTTTTTGTTTTCTAAAATGAAACTGAAAGTATTTCCTATTTCGGCCTGACCGCCAAGACTGTAAATGTTGGGGTAAATGACCTTTCTTGTCTTTGGTTTTTTTAAAAAAACCTGACTGACAGCAGGGTCTGGTTTTCTAAGAATTTGCGAGTGTGGCGACAACAGCTGCTTCAGCTGTAGCTCTTGGTTCAGGTTCAAGTTTGTCAACATTTCACTCCCATTTCCATAGGTTTGACAGTTTAATGAGAAGCTGCTGCAGGTGATAATTATCAGCTCTTCCTGTTGGTTTTTTTAGATGTTATTTGAAACTGAAGATTTCTTTTCTTTTTTACCTTCTCTTGTTGTAATTTTAATACTATTTTAACTTCCTCTCTAAATCCTGTTCAGTTTGAATGTAACACTGATTAGCATTGACTACGACCCCGATAAAAATAGTAACTAAACACTGGTTCCACGTGTGCCCAGGTGTCTGGGACTTTGGTCAAGGCCGTCAGTGTGACCGTGGTTTTTGTTCCGTTTTTTTTCTTTTCAGGTGAGGTGTTTGTTCTGGACGATGGCGGTGAAGTGGATCTGGACCTGGGAAATTATGAGCGTTTCCTGGACATCAGACTCACCAGAGACAACAACCTGACCACCGGGAAGATCTACCAGTCAGTGATTAACAAGGAGAGGAGGGGGGACTACCTTGGCAAGACCGTCCAAGGTTAGGCCCTGATTGGACGTTTGGATGACATTTTTGTTTTAGAGGGAAATGTACCTTTTTTTTTTTAAATTTTTTCTTTTTTTTTTCGTTATGTCTGTTTCAGTGGTGCCACACATCACAGATGCCATTCAGGAGTGGGTGGTGAAGCAGGCCAAGATCTCAGTGGATGAGGACGAGGCCGAGCCTCAAGTCTGTGTCATAGAGGTACGACTGTTTTATTGACTGACTGTTGGTCGTGATGTTTGTGAAATTCTACCACAGTAATAATTTAAACACCTGAGCAAATAGAAAAACCTGGTTCTGCTGGTTGTGCTCCTTCTGCTGGTGGCAAACATTAGCAGAGTAGGAGCTGTTTTTTGTTTTTTTCACCAGTCAAAAACTTCCTCTTGTGTTGCTCTTGGTTACAGACAACAAAAGTTTAAAAAAAAAACTACCCTCAGTCGTTGTCAAGGCCTTAAATGAAAAGAAAAGACCACTAGAGGGAGACAGTGGCTCAGGGAGCTAACTCCACCCAGCTCATCTCTGTAGTGATGTAAATCATAAGTTAGTTTCTTCTCCAACATTCCAGCTGTCAGATGACAACAAAAGTTTCCTACAGCAAAAAAATTCTTTATACACACTTCAGAGAGTGTGTGTGTGTGAGAGAGAGAGAGAGGGAGTGACAGAGACAGAGTTATGGTCTGTGTGCAGCTCATGACATGCTGCTCTCACTGTCACATCATGAAAGTGTCTGAGAACCAAAACCGGTTATTTTTTTCCTCCTCTGAAGTTGTTCTACAAAGTCTGTGTGGAGAAAAAAAAATGTTTAAATTTTTATGAAATGTGTTTCTAAGGGCCGACCCCGCCCTCTAATGGCTGCCTCTGTCACCATGGTAACTGTAGAGCTTGTTCAGCGCACGTTTCCTTCATCAAACTTTAACTTCTCTGAGTTTTCTTCCTCTGTTCTTTCTTGATCTTTGACCTAATTAGATGTTTTTTCCAATTAATTAATGAAGCTGATGTTTTGTGTCAACAGCTGGGGGGGACAGTGGGGGACATCGAGAGCATGCCCTTCATCGAGGCCTTCAGACAGTTTCAGTTCAAGGTGAAGAGGGAGAACTTCTGCAACATCCACGTCAGCCTGGTCCCTCAGGTAAAAAGTAAAAAAACCACGACATTTAACTTCTTTTTTTTTTTTTATTATTATTTTCATGAATATTTTATTTATTTACAGTTTTGTGAAAGTGAATTTCTAGAATAATAAATGACTAAAACTGTTGTGGTCTTGGTTTCCTCAGCCCAGTACCACAGGAGAGCAGAAAACCAAACCGACCCAGAACAGTGTCAGGGAGCTGAGAGGACTGGGCCTGTCTCCAGACCTGGTGAGTTGGATTTGAAGTCCTTGAAATCTCCCAGACCTGACCGGGGTTTCTTTGATCTCTCCGTCGTGTTGGTTCATGGATCTGAACTTTTAACTAATATGTTAAGTATTTGGAAGTCGACAGCAGTTGTCTTCACTCTGTGTTGATTTATTGAACCTATCAAACCTGTCAGGCCTTGGCCTGCGGCCCTCGTGTTTGTCCTCCTACATGTCACGTGTCAGTGCAGCTCCAGTCTGTGCTCCAGGCCCCTCATTACCTTCAGTGTTCACAGACTTTTCCTTCTCAGTCTCTTCACTTCCGACAGTTCCACCATAAACATTCCACTTGTTTTACATCTTCCTGTCAAAGTTAAATTAAAAAAAGAGATAAATATAACTATAAATATAACATGTTTAGTATGGAATGTTAATGCAAAGTGTTGATAATGACCTCCATGTTTTTACAGGTGATGTGTCGTTGTGCGACACCACTGGAAAACTCTGTCAAGGAGAAGATCTCCATGTTCTGTCACGTAGAACCAACACAGGTGAAGTACTGCAGCCGAGCAAATACTCTGATCAGCAGTAGTAAAGCTCTGACTGACTGTCTGGAGTTACATAGTCCATCTGAACCAGCAGAGGGCGCTGTGGAGAGCAAGTCAACAGCAGATCCTCTGATGATGAGAACTAGAACTAATGAAAACATCTAGTACTGTTTACTTTGTGTTTACGTCCTCATTATTCAGTGATAAATGTTGGCAGGTTTGGTTCATGCATTTGCCTTACAGAAAGCAGGTCATTGGTTTGATTCCCAGCTCTAAACTCCTGGTTTGTCTCCATGGAGTGTGCTTGTTTGTTATATATATATTTTTATATTTTATCACCAGCCTGAAAACTTCATCTTTTAATTTGTAAATAATTCTCTGATTATGACTGCTAGTGTTTCCTCTGCTGGTCTGATGTGTGAACGTGCTGGAGTTGCAGTAACACATCTGTGGTTCTTCACAGGTGGTGTGTGTCCAAGATGTGTCCACAGTCTACAGAGTTCCTCTGTTGTTGGACGAACAGGGCGTCGTCAGCTACTTCTGCCAGAGACTGAACCTGCCGGCCGACATGAGGCCCAGAAAGATGCTGACCAAGTGGAAGGAGATGGCTGACAGGTCAGAAGGATTTAAATAATTTCCATCTTTGTTAAAAATCACTAGTGCAATTCCATGGCACTTCCTGTGAAACAAACAAAAAGAACAGAGATGGTGAGGCAAGGTGAAGCAGGCGATCGCGTAGTACTTGTTTGAAGCACTGGTACTGTTTCTTCAACTCTCCCAAGATTCAGTTTTACCTGGACTGAGACCAGTGGGTCAGATGTTGGTTCTGTAGTGAGATAATGATCATGAACATTCTTCTGAATTCTGGTACCAAGACAATTTTATTATTTTTTATTTTTTTAGAAAATTATTTTGAAAAAAGTTTTTAGAAATTTTTTTTTTACCAGAACATTAGAAAAAAAATTTTTTTTCAGAAGAAAATTTTAGACTTTTTTTCAGAACATTTTTTTTCAGAATCTTTTTTCTGAAAAAAAAATTTCAGAATTTTTTTTCTGAAAAAACATTTTTTTTTAGAAAAAACTTCTGAAAAAAAAATGTTCTGAAAAAATGTTTGAAAAAAAAAATTTTTTCTGGAAAAATCAATTTTCTGAAAAAAAAAATTTTTCTGAAATTTTTTAGAAAACTTATTTTTTCAGATACGCTTTGGCCCAGAGCCAATGTCTCTGTCATTGGTGTGGAACCTGCTGTCTTGGTTTGATCTCCTCAGTTGTTGAATCGATCAGTCAGTCTAAGATAGAAAAACTCTGGTACCTGATAATTATAGTAAAACTATATTTATGACTAAATACTGAACCCTGACAGTTTTGTCTCCTCCTTTGTATTCCTCCTCAGGTCCGATCGTCTTTTGGAGAAAGTTTCTATTGCTCTGGTAGGGAAGTACACCAAGCTGTCCGACTCCTACACCTCCGTGGTCAAAGCCCTGGAGCACTCAGCCCTGGCAGTTAACCACAAGCTGGAAGTCAGGGTATGAAGACGAGTCATTTGTGTCAATGACATTTCGGCATTAACACTTTAATCTTGACTGAAAGTGTAGTACATCGGTGTACCAGCAGAGGGCGGCGTTGACTGATCTCTGTTGTTGTAACAGTACATCGACTCTGCCGACCTGGAGCCCGCCATGCTGCAAGAAGAACCAGTGAAGTACCACGAGGCCTGGCAGAAACTCTGCAGTGCTGAGTGAGTACCACCAAGAATATACTGTAGTACTGTGTACCATTTGACTGAGAGGACACTTGTCAGGCCACAGTTGTTAATAAGAATTTGTAAATTCTGATCTTTCAAAATGAAACTATTTTCTTACTGATAATTAATGTAATTAAAATATTAATTGAATAATGATACACTTCTCTTCTTCTTATAGGGGGGTGTTGGTACCTGGAGGGTTTGGTGTGAGGGGAACAGAGGGGAAGATGCTGGCCATCAACTGGGCCAGGAAGCCCAGAGCCCCTTTTCTAGGTAATGTTGTTCAGTTCACAGATAAACTGATCACAGAAGAATCACATTTTTATTTGTTAACTATGAGCTGTGACCTAATCATTACATTAAGAAGAAAAAAAGCATCAGTAAAGTCTTCTGTAACTGTAGGCCTTTAGTCTAGTTTAAGTTTAGACAGGAGAACCAACAGATCCAGAACACTTTCATTGAGTTCAGTTCAATTTAAAACCACCAGAGGGCGGTAAGGGACACAGCAGTTTTACATAAAACTCAGAGGAAAAAGTAGCCATAACTTCTGCAGTTTAGTTTTAAAGAGGAAAAAGTAGCCATAACTTCTGCTTCTGTTTAGTTTTATTTTTTCCATTTATGGTGAGAATAATGATTTATTACAGTTTTTATTCACTTTTTTAATTGGCTCTAATTCTAAATAAACCTCTGTGCTCCTGTCTCTACAGGTGTTTGTCTGGGCATGCAGCTGGCGGTGTGTGAGTTTGCACGGAATGTTCTACAGTGGGATGGTATGTGACAACTGGTCCATGAACATCAATTAAAAAAAAAAAAAATATATATATATATATATACACATATATATATGTATATATACATACATATATACATATACATACTGTGTTCTGACTGAAGATGTCTTCACTTCTTGTCCTCACAGATGCGAACTCCACAGAGTTCAACCCTGATTCACTACACCCTGTGGTAGGTACTGGTTCTGGTCCTGTGTTCCAACAGTACCAGTAGTTCTGTGGCTGTAGAAGAGAACTGTTCTAACGTTTCTCCCTGTGCTCGGCAGGTGATTGACATGCCTGAGCATAACCCAGGACAGATGGGTGGGACCATGAGGCTGGGGAAGAGAAGGACTATATTTAAAAATGACAACAGTGTGCTCAGTGAGTACCCTTGGTCACCTAGTGGAGAATTAGTGACATCACAAGAAGCAAGTGTTCAACTGTTTTTATTTGTTCTATTTTTTTTTTACAGAGAAGTTGTATGGAGACGTGGAGTATGTTGACGAGAGACATCGACACAGATTTGAGGTAGAGACAAAACAAGGTTTTAATGTTCTAAATCAGTGGCTGAAATCGCTGAATCATTTTTGATTTTTTTACTATTAAATCATCTTCACAGGTGAATACTGAGTTCAAGCATCACTTTGAATCCAAGGGTCTGAAGTTTGTTGGTCAGGATGTAGAAGGAGAGAGAATGGAGATCATTGAACTGGAGGGTAAGTGTTGATAATATCCTATAATTATACCATACATCATCAGGAATACTAACGTGTGTGTGTGCACATCTGCAGGACACAGTTACTTTGTTGGAGTGCAGTATCATCCAGAGTTCACCTCTAGACCCATCAAACCTTCTCCTCCATACTTTGGTCTCCTCCTGGCTGCTGCAGGAAAACTCCAGAGCTTCTTGTCCAAAGGCTGTCGTCTGTCTCCGCGGTAAGACTGAGCTGAAACCACAGTGTGAATCATGTTAGTTTCTGTTCTTCTAAAGAAAAGCCTGAGGCCTTTCATCAATGGTTCTTGGCTTGAGTAACTGTTTTGATTCTCCTCCCTGATTTGATGTTTGTTTTTCTTTTCTAAATATTTTAAGCAGTTGTAAAGAATCAGAACAAATCAGTTTTTTTTTCAATCAGTCTAAACATCAGACTTCTGGACTGTCCAGTTGGGACATGTTAAAAATTGACTAATTTGTTTTAAATACATGGTGTTAGTGGGTTTACAGCTTTAATCCTAATCTCCTCCTCAAGAGTGTCTTTGTAATGAGTGTTCTATAGTAATACTTAATAATACTTCATACTTGACAGCCTGGTTTGGTTGCCTGTCTGTGAACTTCCTTCATACAGTAATGTGGTTGAACCAGATAACTGTACTTACTGTCACACATCTGCACTTCTGTTGTTGTTCCCTGACGCACTTGACGTTTTTGTCACGTTGTCGTTGCCATCACTCACCCAGCTGACAGTGACAAGGCACAGTTGGTGCAGTGATGGAGCCTGGGCCTAGAGATAATGACACATAAAGGGAAAAGTTAAAAAAAAAAAACATTTCTTGATTATCACTAATATAATACACAGTATAAAAAAAAAAAAACGTTTCTTGACTATCACTAATATTATACACAGTACAGTGACTTAAATGTTAAAAGGTGATAATAAAAGTAATAAAATCTTGAAGTCACACGTGTCATGTCAGACAGATGTGAAAGTTTTGTCTGGCTTGTAAATAAACTTAAGGTACATTAGTGCCTCTTACAGGCTGAAGTGTGTGCTACAGCTGACTTTTTTTTTGTGATTGTAATCATTTTAATCTAAATTAAAACGTTAACAATTTCTAGAATTGTTTTAATTTGTCCTCTTTTGTTTTAACCCATTTCAGAGATACCTACAGCGACCGCAGTGGCAGCAGCTCTCCTGAAGCTGACATTTCAGAGCTGAGGTTCCCCTCTCTGTAGCTGCAGCGTGTGGGTCCAACACCCAGGAGCCTAGTTTTGGTGACGCATCAACCTGATTTAAAAACAAAACACACATTAATGAGGTAATTTTATTTAGTTTTTTTTTTTATCTATATACAGAAATATTACGAGGTGCTTTGTGTGTCACTTCTGGTTCTTTAGAGCCGATGTAGAAATTATTACAGACAGTTGTTAAAGTTGTGTGCAAACTGACAGAAGCTTCTCTGACACTGAGTGGGAAATTGACATGTATAGATAAATACACAACATTCATGTCTGGTTAGATACTGAATCAAAGAAAGAAGTCTGTTTCCATGTAGTTTGTTAATTTTTTTTTTAAGTCAAGCATTGTACATTTTCTTTGACATCTAAGACACTGAGCTGAAGACTCACTCTTGCATGTCCTCAGTGTTTTTAATACATGTAGTCAATCACTTTTATCCCTATACTTGGACTCGTTGGGTTCATGGTGACTCTGGTACTGCAACAGCTGGAGACTGTTGACTATGTGAACCATGTACAGGTGGAAAAAATATTCTGTGTCTGCATCAGAAAAGTGTCCTATAAAATCTTCAGTGTTTTGAGACCAAGCTGCTCCAAACCAGGCTGTACAGGGTGATGGTGTGGCTCAGTGTTCAGAAGCACTGTCTTCATGGTTCTGTCCACTCAACACAGACATTTACGTCATGAATGTTGTTTTAACTCTCAGGGTCAAAATACTCTTGTTTGACAACCACATGATTTTGGTTGTATCTTTATGGACCTGATGTGGAGTCTGAATGAAGCAGGAGCAGCAGTGGTCATGTGATTGGGCTCCCTGTATTTTTTTTTTCTTATTAATTTTTTAAAAGATAATTAAATGTTTCTGGCTGTTCGTACTAACAACCTGTGGTGTTGTACGCTTTTATTCGTGACCCCATTAGTTTTAGCACGTTCTTTTTTAATGTCCGCTATGTAAAGTGAAAATACGATGATGCTGTCATCATATACCGCTATCATTTTTGAGCGACCTGTTGTTCATGTACAAAAAACAACAGCTGTGCTTAAATAATGAAACAGAATCTTTCGTCTGATCCCAGAGCAGCTACAGCCATATGTAAGGAAACTGCTCAAGTACCTCCAGATTTCATCACTGTTTTTACTTTGACTCCATGGATTAAAACTCATTGCATTCATGTTTATATTTATGTCTAATGGAAATGTATGCGGTTACAATAAAAATGGTTTCACCTGATGATCTGGACTTGATCATTATTCCAATTTTCATCTTCTACCTTTTAATGCTTTTCAGGGAGGCTGGAGCCAATCCAAGCAGCAAGGCTTGGGTTACGCCCTGGATAATTCTTTGGTCTATCATGTGACACATTTGTGTCTACGTTAGCATGTTAGTGTAAGTAAAGATAATGAGACTGCTAGTCAGTGTGAGGTTACCTTTGGGGGAACTGCAGGACCAGGGAGGTGAGTGCACGCAGTAAGACAGGAAGTGCAAGACCTGAGGATGACAGTGGAAGTGATTACAAAACAATCAAACAGAAAAGGACAGAACTTATCTGACATGATGTATGACAGTAACACAGGAGTTTAGCTTTAGCAGGAGTGAAATACAATCATTTATGGATGGTTTATGGTTTCATGAACGGCTCAGAAACTAAGTGTTGTCCACTAGAAAACGCCTACTACTCCGTATTGTTTTTCCTTCTCCTTATACAGTAATCCTGCTCCTGATCCTCCTCCACTCCTCTGCCCAAACTTTGTCCTTCCTTTTCCTGTGAACCTGCCCTTGTTCTGCGTGTTTTGTCTTCTGTCCTGTTCCAACAGGTAAACCTGTCCACACCCTTCCAGAGTGCACTCACCTACTGTACATGCTGACAGCAGCAGAAGAGACCAACAATTTTTATTAGAGCAGGACGTTGCTCTTCATCGTTGGTGTTGGATTTACAAAGGTTTCTGTCTTTGTTTTGGAGCAGCCACAAACTTCTGTGAAGGATGTGAGGAGCTACTGCAGGAAGTGGATTGTTGAACTGATCGGTTGAACAGCAGGACATGGGAGACGCCGGCCTAGAAGGATCAGTGGGATTACTGTATATTTACTGTACACACTGGGTGCAGTAGTATGGCAGAGTCTTTGCTGCGCACTTTAATTTCTGAGAGGTTTTAAAAAAAATAACTTTCCAGTTTTTCTTTTTAATTAAGTCCCAACAAGGAAAAATGGACCCGACCGTGTGGCAGTACCAGTTCAGGATCATCATGCTGGGAGACTCCACAGTAGGAAAGTCTTCTCTGTTGAAACGCTACACTGAAGACCTGTTCCCAGAATCCCTCAGCCAGACACTGGGTGTGGACTTTTATGTTCACTTCCTGGAGGTGGAGCCCGGGGTTCGTGTCAAGTTGCAGTTTTGGGACACAGCTGGACAGGAGAGGTTCAGGTAAGGTCATAGTTCATCAGAGAAACTCATGAAACCAAACCCAGTCACTGTGTCACCTGTAGACTTTTCTATTATTTTGAATGTTTATATATATATATATTTTTTTTTAATTATATTCATTTATATTGTTCCAGGTCAGTTACCCGTTCCTACTACCGCAACTCAGTTGGTGGCATACTGGTGTTCGACATGACCAATCGAGACACCTTTGACCACGTGAAAGAATGGCATGACGAGGTGCGCCAGCGAGTGCAGCCCCACACGGTCGTGTTCCTTCTGGTGGGCCAAAAAAGTGACAGGGAGGCGTACGGGGAGAGAGTGGTGAGCCAGGAGGAGGCGGAGAAACTGGCCAAGCAGCTAGGGATTCCCTACTTGGAGGCCTCGGCCAAGACGGGACACAACGTGAAGACGGTCTTTGAACTTCTTGCTCAGCGAGTCTATCAGGCTCTTCTGAGTGGAGAGGTGGAGCTCCAGGACGGCTGGGATGGAGTTAAGTGTGCCACACTGCAGACAATGCGTTCAAGGACACCCAGTCTGGGTCAAGAGAGCACAGCCTCCAAGAGCAAAAAAAAGTGCTGTGGTTAAACTGTGGGGTGTCTCAGTCACACAGTGGTGGATAATGGGTAAACCCTTTACTAGTGGGACCTGATTAAAAAGGTTAAAGTAGCATTGTAACTAGTGGGACCTGATTAAAAAGGTTAATTAAAGTAGCATTGTTTAAATCTAACAAGTTAGATGATCCAGTGTTCTTAATATTTTCATATTGTCTGGGGTGCTTCCATTTAATCCATGTTTGGCCATAGAAACAGGAACTAACCGTTTATAACTGCTGTCATAAGATCATCTCAGATGTCCGTCGATAATCGACCAAAGAGCCTAGTTTTGGTCAAAAGTAACTTTTGTAACTTTAAGCATTGTTTGGAATGAGAAAACTTAAGGAGTAGAAGACCCCGACTCCAAAGTTAGTTTAAAAAAATGCAGTGATGTTTGAAACACAGCACTCAGTCGTACCTTCTCTGTTTTCGTGCAGTAATAGTCATTCTCCTGCAGCTGTTCCTCACACCTCCGCCTCCCCTGAAGTTTTCTGCTGGATGAGTCAGTATCAGCCCAGTGCTGTGGTTCATCCTTAGTAAAAAAGACAAAGATTTCTTTGAGTTAAACAGTTTTTATGGCATTTATATGGCATTAATTAAACTTTAAGACTAAATGAATATAGAGTTGACTTGACTCAGATTTTACATGCGTACACGGGCAGCATATAGAGCAGCAGGGGGCGTTGTTGTATTTGATGAGAACAAAGATATTGTTTGTTCTCACTCAAACCTTTGGTTTAAGCGAGAACAAACAATATGATTTTATTTGGATGATTTTGAATGAGTAAAACTCACTTTAGAATTCAGTTGTGTTTAGAGATATGAAATTAAATAATTTAGGATTTAAAAGACAGACTTTATGATTTGGTTGAGTCAAAGACAGAAGAGAAGTTTTACCACCTAAGTGTAACAGTTTATCAGGTGTTTTTGTATAAACACAACCAATTTTAGAACAAAATCCCCAAGACAAAAATATTTATAGTTTTTATAAAAATTTAAATTCTGTGGTTAAAACTTTATTTTCTGCTTTGAAATATCTTTTCTGCTTCAACCCAAGACTGTGATGATGAAGACGATGCTGAAGATGATGAGGATGTTGTTAAAGATCAGGCTGATGAAGAAGACAATGATGATGGTGTTTGTGACGGTGGCGATAAAGATCCTTGAGAGGACAATCACAGTAATGATGATGATGGAGCAGCTGACGGTACATGATTATCATGTTTTCTCACAGGGTCAGAGGTCACGGCTCATCAGCTGTTCATTTCTCAGCTGACATTTTCTCTGCTGATGAGCAGTAGCTGTAAATCCCACTCATCTTCAACATAGGTTTGTCATTGTCACCCTCATCATCATCGCATTTATCATCAGCAGCATCATTTTAAATATTATTTTGATGATAGTAACCCTCTCATCTTCATTGCTGCATCTGTCATCATCACCGTCACTGTATTTGTATCTCCGTCCACAAAATGGTCCTCACGTCTCATCATCACAACCATCGGTTAAGGCTTAAGTTAATGTGACGTTTAAAAACGATCGTCTTCAAAAAAGAAGAATGACCCCAAAAAGTGACAGACCCACGATACACCAGGAGAATGACTGACACCTCCATCTCAGCATTAGTAGAATAAAAGTCATGACTGCTGTGGTTTGTAGATTAGTGCTGTGTTCAGGTGGAGGTCGGGTGGTGGTGATGAAGCTCTAAATCTTCATATTGTTCCCACGGGAGCCATTGTTTTATGCTCATGTGTTTCAGCAGCTGTCAGTGAGAACAAGAGCTCAGAATGAATGAGACCGGGGGGTGCTGAAGAACCAGGCCGACATTGTTCTAACACTGCAGTTTGTTACGGGGACTGGAGGAGGAGGAAAGGAAAGGAAAGGCAAGGCAAGAGTCAGACAGAAATCAATGCACACAGCTGTCACCAGGATTTAATTTCATCAATAAATCCTTGATCTGCAGCTATAAAACTCAACGCCCCCTGTTGCTAGAACACTTATATAACAGGCTCAACCTGCAGGATGAAAAACTGACTTCAACATTTAAAAAAAAGATATAGTGAATTCTACAAATGTGTGTAAACCACTAACTCCGTCACACACAAGTCCAGAGAGAAATTAGTAATTGTTTGTTCACTGGGACAAAGGGGATGCTGGACCACTGCTGCCTCCTGTGGTCAGTTTTATATACATTAAATAAGAATGTGGTATTTGCTGGAAGCATGGTTAGCTACACATAAAACAGAGGCAAACAAAGCATTAGTATAAGGCAGGACAGAAAACAATATTCTGTGCAATGATTTCTTGAAAATGTCTTATGACAATTGAACTGTTCTGGTCTCTGCTTCACTGTTTGTGTTTTCATATCCTCAGCTCAGTTTCCCATCTTCCCTCCATATACAGTGCAATCCATCCATCTTTAATCAGCAGCACTGCTGCCACTTCCTCTCCTCTGTGTACAGCTGCCATTTCTACAGGAAGAGGAAATCCCTCTCCGCCCCACCCCCCACTGCATCTGCTCAATAATTCAGCAGAAGAACTACCAGTCCAAATATTCTAGGAGCCGAGTCTCTGTTCTCCAAGTGCGAATATCCCTCGGCAGCTCGACACACTGTCGTTCATTTAAGGGTGTCGATTAAGGTACTTTATTAAGTCTAGTTTATAACATTTCATGAAACACTGTGTACATCAGCTCATGTCCATATATTCGGGTCTGTTCATGGCTTTATGTCATTATTTTCCAAAAGGAAACACCAAACCTCAAAAAGAAAATCAGTGGCTTTTACTAAAAAGACAAAGTAGTAGTTAATTTTCCCACATTGGGTTTAAATTTGACCACCGGAGGCAGCTGTGGACCAGCAGCTCCCCTGTGTCCCTTTTGGTTTTTTTTTTAATTCAGCAATAGTGCACACTACTGATCTGAGGAGCCAAATGAAGTTTGAAAATCCTTAATTTTATAGAAATACTGTTTTATTGTTAATGTTGTCCTGATGACGATTCGTGCCATCACTCACCTCACATCCACCTGTCTCCACCTCTGCCTAAACATCAGGAACTGCAGCAGTTTTGGAGTAACTCAGGGTTCTCTGGTCGTGTGTTGATAACCTGGCCACAGCTGCCGTGGCTGTTGCTGCTGCCATGACAACACAACTACAGCAACTGCCAACACCAACCTCTAAAATCGAACCCTCAATAGTCACTGACGCATCATCACCTAAAACACAGGCAAAGACACAGTAATGCAGATCAAAATTTGGAAGGAACTTATATACGCTACTATATAGCAAAAAAAAAAGCATTTCCTGAAAAAAAACCAAAAACCCAAACGATTATATCAATTAAAAAAAAAAGTTAGACTCAATCTGGTGTTTTGAAATTTTAAATGCATTTCAAAAATACACACAAAACTTGTTCTCTTTAGTATCAGTGATGAGAACAAACATTTTAGTTTAACATTTTAGTTGTATTACATTGTTATGTAATGTATTACATTCATGCTCATGTTAGTGAAACTGATTTCATTTCCCAACACGAATCCTCAACAGTTTACACTCATAAAACTTTCATGCTCATTTTCCTGTATCGTAAATTTTTAAGGGTTAGATTTACTAAATAATATTTCATAAAACCAAAACGCCACAGTTTTATTGTTCATTAAATAAAAGTAAATGATTTGGTCAAGTTGATTAATTTTTTACTTTTTTTTTATATACGCTACTATATAGCAAAAAAAGCATTTCCTGAAAAAAAAAACAAAAACCCAAATGATTATATCAATTAAAAAAAAAGTTAGACTCAATCTGGTGTTTTGAAATTTTAAATGCATTTCAAAAATACACACAAAACTTGTTCTCTTTAGTATCAGTGATAAGGACAAACATTTTAGTTTAACATTTTAGTTGTATTACATTGTTATGTAATGTATTACATTCATGCTCATGTTAGTGAAACTGATTTCATTTCCCAACACGAATCCTCAACAGTTTACACTCATAAAACTTTCATGCTCATTTTCCTGTATCGTAAATTTTTAAGGGTTAGATTTACTAAATAACATTTCATAAAACCAAAACGCCAGTTTTATTGTTCATTAAATAAAGGTAAATGATTTGGTCAAGATGATTAATTTTTTACTTTTACTTTTGACTGTTAACTAAAATTTTATTATTACTTGTAGGTATAATAATAGTTATAATAATAATAATTCCAACTTAGTTTGTAATGCTGGTTTATAACAAAACTAACTTTTAGTTAACAATAAGGCCCAAAAACATTATTTCAGTACAGCAAAAAAAAAAAGAAAAGAAAAGAAAAAAAAAAGCTAATGATTTCTCAGTCTAAATTAGCAGAAGGACACAACCTCAGGATAAATTTAAAATTCAATGACTGTGTATGATGGCTGAGAGAAGGCTCTGGTTTTCCTGTAGCGGCTTCACTTGTCACAGGGCTCAGCCATGAGGTGTAATTGCAGATAAGTGGCAGTGGAGAGTTTTTATGATGACCATATGCTCCCACGCTCTGCTAAACTAATGCCGTTCCTTTAGCACATAAAAACCCGCTGGGTCCCTTTCTTTGACAGAGTCCAGTCACTGTCTGCCTATACCAGAGTGACTATGAATCAGAGGAGGAGTCTGACTCCTGCTGGAGCTGAGAGACTGAACAGGTCTCTCTGCTGGATTTGAATGAATTCAAAAGTAAAATTATGTACAGTCGTAAGGATCCGAGCCAATGAAAAATGAATTCCATATGTGGTATTTTTCTGTACAGTTTATCCACGGGCTCATATATCATCAACATGAGGGCTATCAGGAGAGGAGCTGGGTGCAGCTAATTATTAACATCTGAGGTTGCTAATTAGCTAAACAAAAATGATAATTAGAGCCAAGGGTTTTACTTATTATCAGCAATACATTATAAGCTTTGAAAGCTAACACAACTGGTAAACGGAACTAAACAAAGTTAAACAAATTAAATGTATTCTACATCAACCCAAAATACACCTTAACATGGGCTAAATATAGCTAAAAAAGTAGCCAAGATTTTTTTTTTTTTTAAAAGACTTCAGTTGTAATACAAAAGTTATCCTAGAAGAAAGCCAAAATTTAGCAAAAGTGAAGACTGCGAGTGGTTAAAAGCCAAAAGTTAGCAAAAGTGAAGACAGAGTGGTTAAAAAAACATCTTAATGATACACAGTAAAAGAAATTATAAAAAAAAAATTCCTCAGTTTGAAATTCGCTGTCACTGTCTGTTAAATCCAGATCTGTGTGTAGTGTAAGCTCTACACACAGATCTGGGTTTGACAATTTGCTCAGCATGCCCCTCCCCATCTGTGTGCTCTCACCATTAGGTTTTATGACTGTGTTATCTTCCATCGTTGCAGCTTGAGATTATCAGCTTCTCTTCTGGCAGTTTCCCTCTGCAACCACTTCACTGGATCAATAAAAGCAAATGCCAATGGGCAATTAACACAGAGGCAGGTCACAAAGAGAGGGCAGAGTCTTTCTTTTTCATAACACAACACAACGTTACAGGTGATAGCACTGTGTGTACTTAAAATCTGGAGTCACGTTCGTTCACTGCAGAGATAAGCCTCCGGTAACCTACTTCGACTCCAAACGATTGTTCCAAAAATCAGTTGAGCAAACGTTTGTTTCAGTGGTTGAGCTATTAACCGTAAAAGGAGAACAGAAAAGTTGTAAACTTTTATTCTCCTAAAATTATTTTTTCTCCTGACATTGCGAATTTATTCTGATAAATGTGGTACTTCTTACTCTCGTAATTTTATTTTTTGAATTCTCAATTGTCTTAAAACGACATCATACATTTGACGCAATTCTCTTTAACCTTTCTTTATATTTTAGTTATTTTCTTTTTGAACATTTGTCTTACCTTTATCAGAGGTAACTAGTTGTCGTGTGAGGTCATCCCGAGATATTAAAACGTGCTTATTTTTGTCCTTTTCCTGGTGGTTGTCTTATAGCGCATTATTCGGTTTCTGTATTGAAATGATAACTTGCGCCGCATAATTAGCACACAATGCCACTTTTACTTTGTTTAAGTAGAAAAAAGTCGACGTACAAACGAGAAACGAAGTCACTCTCCGAAGATCAACGATAAATTAGAAAATGGCTACCCTTCCCGCCAAACAAATGTATTAACGTCAGTTAATGTGGCCGGACATTTAACTTCATAGTTTACAAAAGCAGCGCCGCGTCACTGAAACTAACATTTGGGTCAAAATTTTCCGCATGGGTTTTAATATTTAAGCCGCGAAGTTAGTGCCATGGTAGCCTTGTATAACTTTATTACCGTCTGCTGTCGAGGAGAGAAGATTAACAGGCTTGACCGTCAGTTTCTCCAGGAGCACTTTAATGACCGATTTGTGCGTAGGAAATGACAGCACTATCATTCAAACGTAACACCGTATTACAAGATAGCATAGATAGATGTATGTCTGAATATGTTTGTATGGAATCAAATTTTCTCATACAAATTAAATCAGATTAAGTCAGGTAATAATTATATCACTGCTCCACTTCAGCCCCCTTAGTTTTGGAACTGAATTTAAATTATTTATTAATTAAAATAAATAACCGTACAGTTGGATTTCCTATGACGAATTATTATTAAATTGAAAGTTTCAGCGATAGAGGTTAGCTGAAACACTAGGTCTGCAAAGAGCAACAAAACCTCAAATAAACGTTTAAGAAAAGGTGTTCAAGGTTAAATATTATTTGATTTATTTTAAATCATTGTTAAATATTGTCTTTTTTGTCTTGAGAGTTTCTGGAAACTCCTGCTTTTAACTGATTGCAGGCTAGCTAATGAAAAATCTCACTCACCTATTTCTATTTTACCAATCTAGTTAATTCAACCTTTTCTTTTGTTTTAATTGTTTGACTTTTTGTGTAGGTGCTGTCTTTTTTATTCTTCTTCCATTTCTGTATTTTACCAACTGTTTATTTATTTTATGAAAATGTAACAAAAACTCGTACTGTACTGTATCAAAACGTTAGAAGAATGAATTAATACGGAAATCAAATGATAACTATACATTACGAAGATTAAAATCACATACATTTGCCCTTCAGACCTGCTTAAAATTGAACAAACACCTTTATTTGGCTCTGTTTGTTTGTGCTGCTCTTCTTTCCTTCCTTCCTTCCTCCTTGTGCCCCCCCTTCCTTCTCTCCTCCTCCCCTTTCCTCTGTCGTCCTCCTCTCCCCCGCCTCCCTGTGCCTCTCTCTCTCTCTCTCTCTGTCTCTATCTCTCTCTCTGCCCAGCCTCCCTCACTCGCAGTCGGTCACAGAGTCCGGGAGCCAGATCAGGCGAACTGTCTCCAGCTGTGGGAACGCATTTCTAGTTTCACCTGCACGAGACTCTGAACCAGGAGCAGCACAAGGTCCAGGATCGTAAGGTCTCCCTTAAAGAAAGAAAGAAAAACAAAACACTTTTTGCGCAAACCTTGCGCGTAAGTGGCACGAGTCTGTCCAGGTCTTAAGACTCGGACTCGCTGTTGTTGTTGAAGTGTTCTTTTATTAGAAGTTTTTTTTCTTCTTCTCTCTCTCCGCGGGGTTGCTTTAAGCGGACTCGCCTTTGGTGGATCGGTCAGAGGAGCCGAGAGAGAGAGCTGCGACTGGAGCCACTGCTGCCCCCCTTTGGACCTGGTTCTGGTGTTGGATGCAGGGCATGGATTTTTGGATTCCTGCGGTGTAAAAGCAGAAGAAGAAGTTGCTCCAGACGGAAAGACAATGACGGTGAGGAGGATGAGGAGCAGAGCAGGAAGCCGCTGAGGTACAAACATCTGATATTGATTTTTATTTGAGAAGAGAATCGACCTCAGTACGAGTTTGTGTCTGAGGGGAGAAGAAGATGCTTTTACCAGAGGAGCAGGGCAGATCAACCAGAGAGGGAGGGGGTGGAGGGGGGCATGAGTGCCGGGGGTAACAGTTCAGGTGGCCTAGAGATGTATTTTTCAAACAATTATTTGACAAAAACATAGAAGTTGGCAGAGACAATTTTATAGTTCCAAATTTGACTGCAATGTTTTTAAAGATTCACCTTTAAACCTTGGGTTAGACACTAAGACCAGCTTCTTTAGTTTGAGCTCAGATTGCAGTTGTTTACACGTGAAAGGCAAAAAAATAAATAAAAAATCGAAAGGCTGTTTTTTTTTTTCTAGATCTGTTCAGAAAAGAAAAACTGATCCTTGAAGCCTACATTGTAATGAGCAGCAGTTTTCAGACATAAACATTGTTACAGACGAGACCCAGAAACACCTGTAGATAATACAGATTTTTAAAATGGACCAAACAAATACATAGTATATCACAGAAATTCTATTCTATTTATCTAATCTTTGTCAATGAACATTTTCTGAAGGTGTCCAGTGGCTTCAGGACAGATGAAAAACTGATCTAGATTTGTTCCTGATCCAGAGTCCAGATATTTGACTCAGGAAAGTTCAGCTTTGTGATACCTGACTCAGTGGTTCACAGAGGGGACACAAAGCTCAGAGGTTTGATTTCCCAGAATCCTTTTCTCAGGACGTATGTGATGTTTTTATGACAGGATGAACATGTGTTTCCTCTCCTGCTCTTCATCACTCTACCTAATGAAAACTGCTTAGCTGTGAACGCCAGAGAAGCAGATTCTGGGAGGTTTTATCCCACGACTTGTGCTGACCTGGACTAACGAAGGTCACCCAGGTCCAGAGATGCTCAGATTATTGCTGTGAATTCAGCTGTGACTAAGTGAAGCTGTACTTTTATTAGATTCTGCCTTCAACGGGAAGGGTTCATGATTGTCTGGGCAGAAATTATACTACGCCACTGGTTTGGCATGTTTTCTCTGATACTGGTCCAATAACATTTTTTCTTAATCAATTATTAACAATCTGATGATTGAAAAAAATGCATGCTGTTATGTGTTTTAACACATTCTTTTTTACATTTTGTTTGGTAAAATATTGGCAAAATAAGTTATCTTTCAAATGTTTGCTGTGAATTGTTATCTACAAGTTCAATACATTTTTTCTTTCTTTTACTTTAGCAACACATTTGTTTTTCAAACAAAATTACTTCATTTTATGTTTTAATATTTTGCTTAATTTAGAGAATAAATTCATTTTATTCTCAAACATGTTGGCGAACATGAATGAACCCCTAACATTCAGCTAGTTTCCTCTTTCTTTTCACAGGGGTAAATAATTCAGCTGAAAGTGAAGGTGAGGAATTTGCTGCTCGGAGGATGCTCTTTTGGAAGGGGGTCTCTACATTTTTGCTGGCCCTACTGGTCCTAATGGACCTCCAGCTGCTCGCCGGACGATCTCACCCGCACAGACGTCAAACCCGAGGTCATCACGAAGGCAGGGCGCGGCAGAACATCACACTGGCCATCATTTTACCTCAGACCAACACAGAATACCCATGGGCATGGCCTCGCATCGGCCCTGCCCTGGAGCGGGCGGTTCAAACTGTCAACGCCGATCCCACCCTGCTGCCGAACCACCACCTGACCTACGCTTTCAAGAACAGTGAGGAGAGGAGCAGAGCGGGAAGCCGCTGAGGTACAAACATCTGATATTGATTTTTATTTGAGAACAGAATCGACCTCAGTACGAGTTTGTGTCTGAGGGGAGAAGAAGATGCTTTTACCAGAGGAGCAGGGCAAATCAACCAGAGAGGGAGGGGGTGGAGGGGGGCATGAGTGCCGGGGGTAACAGTTCAGGTGGCCTAGAGATGTATTTTTCAAACAATTATTTGACAAAAACATAGAAGTTGGCAGAGACAATTTTATAGTTCCAAATTTGACTGCAATGTTTTTAAAGATTCACCTTTAAACCTTGGGTTAGACACTAAGACCAGCTTCTTTAGTTTGAGCTCAGATTGCACTTGTTTACACGTGAAAGGCAAAAAAATAAATAAAAAATCGAAAGGCTGTTTTTTTTTTCTAGATCTGTTCAGAAAAGAAAAACTGATCCTTGAAGCCTACATTGTAATGAGCAGCAGTTTTCAGACATAAACATTGTTACAGACGAGACCCAGAAACACCTGTAGATAATACAGATTTTTAAAATGGACCAAACAAATACATAGTATATCACAGAAATTCTATTCTATTTATCTAATCTTTGTCAATGAACATTTTCTGAAGGTGTCCAGTGGCTTCAGGACAGATTTGTTCCTGATCCAGAGTCCAGATATTTGACTCAGGAAAGTTCAGCTTTGTGATACCTGACTCAGTGGTTCACAGAGGGGACACAAAGCTCAGAGGTTTGATTTCCCAGAATCCTTTTCTCAGGACGTATGTGATGTTTTTATGACAGGATGAACATGTGTTTCCTCTCCTGCTCTTCATCACTCTACCTAATGAAAACTGCTTAGCTGTGAACGCCAGAGAAGCAGATTTTGGGAGGTTTTATCCCACGACTTGTGCTGACCTGGACTAACGAAGGTCACCCAGGTCCAGAGATGCTCAGATTATTGCTGTGAATTCAGCTGTGACTAAGTGAAGCTGTACTTTTATTAGATTCTGCCTTCAACGGGAAGGGTTCATGATTGTCTGGGCAGAAATTATACTACGCCACTGGTTTGGCATGTTTTCTCTGATACTGGTCCAATAACATTTTTTCTTAATCAATTATTAACAATCTGATGATTGAAAAAATGCATGCTGTTATGTGTTTTAACACATTCTTTTTTACATTTTGTTTGGTAAAATATTGGCAAAATAAGTTATCTTTCAAATGTTTGCTGTGAATTGTTATCTACAAGTTCAATACATTTTTTCTTTCTTTTACTTTAGCAACACATTTGTTTTTCAAACAAAATTACTTCATTTTATGTTTTAATATTTTGCTTAATTTAGAGAATAAATTCATTTTATTCTCAAACATGTTGGCGAACATGAATGAACCCCTAACATTCAGCTAGTTTCCTCTTTCTTTTCACAGGGGTAAATAATTCAGCTGAAAGTGAAGGTGAGGAATTTGCTGCTCGGAGGATGCTCTTTTGGAAGGGGGTCTCTACATTTTTGCTGGCCCTACTGGTCCTAATGGACCTCCAGCTGCTCGCCGGACGATCTCACCCGCACAGACGTCAAACCCGAGGTCATCACGAAGGCAGGGTGCGGCAGAACATCACACTGGCCATCATTTTACCTCAGACCAACACAGAATACCCATGGGCATGGCCTCGCATCGGCCCTGCCCTGGAGCGGGCGGTTCAAACTGTCAACGCCGATCCCACCCTGCTGCCGAACCACCACCTGACCTACGCTTTCAAGAACAGTGAGGACAAGGACGGTATCTGCTCGGAGTCCATCGCCCCGCTCATGGCTGTTGACCTCAAATTGGCCTTTGACCCCTGGGCCTTTATTGGCCCTGGCTGCTCCTACACCTCCTCGCCCGTGGGTCTCTTCACCACCCACTGGGATGTCCCCATGGTTACAGCCGGAGCTCCGGCCGTGGCCTTCTATGGCGGCGTCTACCCATCTATCACCAACACAGGCCCTACCCACAAGAAGCTGGGGAAGTTCGCCCTGAGGATTTGCGAGCACTTTGGCTGGAGGGAGCATGTGATGCTCATGTTCAGCGACAACAAGGTGGATGATCGTCCCTGTTACTTTGCCGTGGAGGGTTTGTACACAGAGCTGAAGAGCATCAACATAACCCTGGTGGACAGAGTGTTTGAGGAGAACAAACTGCCCATCAACTACTCACAGATCCTGGCTGACACCCAGAACGACGCCAGAGGTGAGTCCAGCGGAGAGCCGCAAATGAATGTCAAGTGTGTGTCTGTGAGTGTGTCAGAACTAAAAGCAGACGATGTGTTTTACAGTTTTTCTGAGTCTGACATCCCAAGATCATTTTGAGGATATTTTAAAGATTATTTTTACAATGATTTCTTAAATGTAAAGGTGGAATTTTATGAGCTACCAGGTTAGGATCACCTTACATTTGAATAAATAATAATAAAATGAATTAATCATAATTCGAATTTAATCTCTTTTCGTCAACTAAAATGCTACAGCCTCTTTTTTTTATACATTTACAACTCTATTCCCATAAAAGAAAGTCTTCTAAAAATATACCGCTTTAATTAGAAATGAATTTACACATTTTATTATCTTTATCTTAAATCCTTTTCTTCTTTTTTTAGAATTTTGCCAAAAAAATCCTGAAAAAATCCCAGATTTTTTATGAGAAACATGCAGAAAAGATAAACTTAAAAAAAAAATTCCAAAAATTCTGACCGCATGACACAAATTTGGATTTTACTGAAAGTTTTTTCTAAAATTTTTTTGAATTGATCTAATGATCTAATTTCATGAGAAACATTATAGAAGTTTTTTAAAAAAAAACAAAACAGATTCTCAAATGTGAATAATAGTGTGCTAATATGATGAGAGACATCCAGGAAAAGATACAAATTTAATAAGTAACTTTTCGTCAATCTATTAACATTTGACCAAAGAAATGACACGAAAAGTGTAGACAAAAAATAAAAATTGTTTTTATCTAAAAATTCACCAATTTGCTTTAAAATACTTGTCCATTTTTGTGGTTAAAATAAAAAATATATACTTTATTGGTATGCCAACTTTTGATCACAGTAAAATACTCTACCAATATGTTCCTGAACAAATCTCCAAAAATAAGTTTCTTAAAAATGACTAAAACAGACTAAAATACACTAATTTTAAAAATGTTCTCTTAATCCTCTAATTTTATGAGAAACACAGGAAAAGATGACATTTAAACAATACATTTACAAAGTTCTATCGTCAATGTTTTTTAGTTTTTTGACAAAAAATGACACAAAGTTCACATTTTGACAGATGATTTTATTTTTAAAAAATTCTGAAAATGTTCTCTAAATGCCCTTATTTTGTGAGAAACATGCAGGAAAAGATGACATTTTGAAAAATAGTTTTACAAAAGTTTTTGTCAAATTTTCTTTAGTTTTTGACAAAAAAATAACATTAAAAGTTTACATTTTGACAGAAAATTTAAAAAAAAATTTTTTTTAAATGTTCTCTAAATGCTCTTATTTGATCAAAACCATGTAGGAAAATATGACATTTATAAAAATAATTTTACAAAATTCTTTGTCAATTTCTTTTTAGTTTTTGACCAAAAAAAAGATGAAAAGTTCACATTTTGACAGAAATGTTTATTACAAAAATATTCTAAAAATCTTTTCTAAATGCCCTAATTTTATGAGAAACATGCAGGAAGAGATAAAATTCTGAAAAATAATTTTACATGATTTTTGTGAATTCTTTTTAGTTTTTGACAAAAAGGACATGGAAATTTCACATTTTGACAGAAGATTTTACATAAAAAATTGTCAGAAAAATCTTTTCTAAATGCCCTAACATTTATGAAAAACATGCAGGAAAATATAAAATTCTGAAAAATGATTTTTCACGATTTTTTTGTCAATTTATTTTAGTTTTTGACAAAAAATGCCACTAAAAGTTGGCATTTTGACAGAAACTTTTATTTTTAAAAAAATTCTAAAAATCTTTTATAAAATGCAAGATTATACCCTAAAACA